CAAGATTTGCTGCGGCAGCTGTGATGCATGCTATGTCGGACAGACAATGAAGATAATTAAAAAATAGAGAAATGCACGAACAGAGTCGTAAGATACGTAATATACGTAAGAACACGAACACACATTCAGTCATTACCGAACATAGATTGAATTGCGATGATCATGATTTTGACTGGAACGGTGTGAAGAAATCTCAGAGATGCTTTTTATTAAGAGACAGAATAATTATTTGAATTCACAGTCTGATACTGAATTCTTGCACGCATACGTTTCTGTCTTGAGCAGACTATAACCCGGCTTTGTTTTGTTGACAAGTTGTTGACTTGTAGAGTCATCGCGTTCAGTCACTGCCTGGAGCTCTAGACATGTGGACGCGTTGTTGGTGTACTGCTCGGTGCGAATTGCGCCGCACTCCTGCGCGTGCTTTGTTCGATTTGTGTGAGCTGTGTCCATTATTGACAACTCTAAAGATTGTCCTATCTCTTTAAGGATGATATGACGGTGCGATCATAATAATTCGAGTTAGCGAAATTAACGTTAGTGAATAACGTTAGTGAATGTCGGATGAACACGGTATTGTATCTTTATTTTTTGTATACACTGAGGATGACTCAAACTAGAGTCGAAATATATGTTATACATTTTTAAAATGTAATAAAGAGTGTAAATTGTACCATAAACAACACTGATTCTCATTGCTCTTTTATTATATCGTATCTAATATCGAGAATCATTTCAATAATATTTAAGAATTAAAATGATCATTGTGCAAGATGTTTAAAATAAAAATAAAAATAATACAGAATTTTTTTTCATTCCTGAGCGCTAATATTCTTTCTTTATAATTACAATTTTGAGCACAAGATAATCAGAATATTTTTAATAATAACCTTTTCATTATATAATTACCTTTTTATATAAATTTAATCTATATAAATTTTAAGATTAAAAAATAATTATGCAAAATACACAGCGTGGGTGGTGTGTGTGTGTGTGTGTGTGTGTGTGTATGTGTGTGTAAAACTAAATTAAAGGTTAAAAATTAAACGAACTTAAAAAATATTATTATTCTCTAAATTGTTGTATTTATAATTACAATTAATTCGCAATTGTAATATATTTAATATGTTTACTTTATTTAACGCATATCAATTTAAATTGTAACCCGCGCACATCAATAATAATGGCGATCGTGTAACATTCAGATCAAAGCCGCTAAGGAATTATTCTACTGTTCTTTCTTATACTGTGCTTATACTATACACTAGACCGCCTTTAAGTCTCAGTCCACAATAGATATTTAATCTTTAAAGGCGTAAGAAATAAGAAATTGACCAATCATAGTCGATAATTTTTTTCATATTCGATTATGATTGGCCAATTTCTTATTTCTTAAAGCTTAAATCACCTATTGTGGACCGACACTTAAATCTCTAACACAATGCGAAGGAATAGCGATAGCGATAGAAATAACACAGGCAATAAGCATAGCGATAGAAACAGAAGAATCTAATATACAGAAATGCATAATAGGCAATGCAGATTGGAACACGGAATAAGCAATAGCGATAAAATTTTCGATGAGTTTGGAATTCTATGTCTATCGCCTTACTTAGCCTACCAATCACAGCGTTCGGATCTTTCTGTTTAGATTGCTGTTTAGAATAGATTGCGTCTTGGTAATGAATATTGGAGCATAGCCTTTTTACGAAATATATAGGGGATAGTTTCAAAACTTGTTGGATTAACAAAAAATGGAATATTCTTATTGCAACAACTTTCCGGACAATGGACTATTATCCGATACACAACATACATTTGATGGCAATGATGTTAGTACAGTTATTTGTACATATAATATATCAAATCATCTTCCATCTTACCTAAATATAATTTGCGTGAAAATATAATATGTAGAATAATGTATATGAATCAGAAATTTTTCTCTAATATTCCAGTTCAAATATAAAATCAAAATCAAAATTTGTCGACAAAAACCTATTGAAAAAGTTAATCGAAGAATAAGACGATTTTGATATAATATCATAAATCATTTAGTAAATTTTGTTCTTTTGATGTTTTTAGTTTATCTGAAGCAGACAAAAGAATAAACTCTTCACGCGAGCTGATTGGTTGGCTTTTATTTCTTTCATGGCATTGTGCAATGCGAGACGATCGCTTATTTCTATATTATTCTTATTGCTGTTCCTATCGCTATTTCCTCGCATTGTGTAAGAGACTTTACATGGACTGCCTCAACTCTCGAGATAGTGCAATCCATGCGTAGTTCATGCGCTTAGGAGGAAAAGATGACTCTTAAAAATTTGCAAACTTATGTTGACAATGATTGTGGATGTTCGATGTAACTGATGCCGAATTTCAAGCGGCAATAACTGGCAGTAAATGCTAATATCGTAAAAAATTATATGAAGAAGATTCTATAGTTATGTTGAGTTCCAATAGAAATATTGAGTATATTATTAGTCGGCATTTCGTCTGCCATGTTTATTTATAATAACTCAGTGCACATAAGTCCGTTTCGCTTTTCTATGTGCAAGAAAAAAGAAAACGAGTAATGCGCTCATGTAACGCGCTATCATCTCATGCGATTCATGTGTGCAACGCACCCATAGTCAGTTCTTATATTTAAGATCGTTTTAAATAATCTCATACAGTTATTCTATTGGTTGAAATGTTATCTATGTTATAAAATGATTTTATATATGAATTGACTATGAATACGGCCTATGATTGATTGATAACTTCTTAAGACAATGGCCATGTTTCAATAGTGTCGGTCCACAATAAGTATTTAATCTTTAAGTCGTAAGAAATTGATCAATCATAGTCAATTATTCTTTTCATATTCGATTATAATTGGTCAATTTCTTATTTCTTAAAGCTTAAATGACCTATTGTGGACCGACACATATACACGCCTAGAGATAATCCTTATAAGAAAAGACTCATTACGTGACGTTAGTAGACTTTAATTGGTTGGGGTATGGATTGTACATCTGTGCTCCATGAAACGAAACAGATGTTCAATAATCTATTTTGACAGATGCATGTTATGTACTATTACAGTATTGTGTCAAAGTTATACATTATATATAAGTTAATTTATCATATCAATCAATTATTTATCATATCATTATCTTTACAATTATGGAAGAAAGCAATATATATAACAATAGCAATATATACAATATATAAGCAATATATGTATCTACATTTATTAATTTAAAGTTTATTTATAACTACTATTATACTATATTTATACTAACTATTTATAACTATATTGCTTTCTTTCATAAATATAAAGATATGATAAATAGATATGATAAATTAACTTACGTATAATGTATAACTATGACACAGTACTGCAAAGCCTGAGACATACTGACAAGGTACAGGAAACAGGGAATAGCAATAGGCAACAGATTTCGACTAATCAGAAGCTGTAAAGAATATCGAAAATATTTCTGATTGATCGAAATCTGTTGCCTGTTCCCTATTCCGTGTTCCTGTTGCCTGTGTTTTTTATTGTGCATCCAGCTTAACAGTACATAACGGGTGCTTTCCATTTAGTGACATAAGTATCGTTCTATCTTTCTTGATTTTTAATGATTAACAAGGACAAAATGATACTTGTGTCAACTTGTGTCACTAAATAGAAAGCACAACAACATGTCAAAATATGTTATTAAAACATTTGTTTCGTTTCATGGAGCACAGATGTACAATCCTAATCCAAGCCAATCAGAGTTTACTAACGTCACTTGACGAGTTGGCGAGTCTCTTCTTATAGAGTTTCTATATACGCCAATACGGAAAATTAATTATCTATGTTACGTATACTATAGATGTTCAGTACTAGCAGTGTATATATCGGAACACATCTAATATTTAAGTTTTAAATATAGGGAATCGAATATAAATACCAGTTATATTATTTTAAAACTGTCTTGAAAAAAAGACAAGATAATGTATGGATAGGAACGATAAACATTACATTTCATGACAACATTTACATTTACATTTCATGTAACTAGAGTCGTTTAATGGGCCTCGTCTACATGCGTCGTGTGTCGGTGTCGTGGGTCGTGAGTCGTGAGAACGGGCCAATCACAATCAAGTATTCTCTCCACATTCGTCTGTGACGACGACGAGGCCTGAAACATTTAATGATATATCTGCTTGCAATTTATTTGTTTTGCGGAATAAATAGAAACCATATAATTATTTATTGATAATATAATAAATAATAATTTATACATCCAGTGTCTCTCAGTTCAGCGACGATAGGCGCTTGAAAATAAAATTGCTACGTGTCGTCATGCAATTGTATCACGATCAACTGTGTAAATTTCGATGCGCAGAAGTGATCTTTTTTCTCTCGATCTGGCAGCACTGATCTGTTAACGTCGATTATCACTATACATCGTTTTTACAACGTTGTCCGATATTTTATACAGAACGTTTTTAAATTTTGTAATCTGTGTCGCGATCTTGTAAATATACTCTGTCGGCAATCAGATTAGATAGACAATATATAGTCATGACGGAAGAGTGGAGGCTAGATCATCGAGCAAGAAAGAGGATCAAGGAAGTGAAAAAGAAGGCTCGACCAGGTAAGAAAAATGGAATTTGTGCAATTTATAACCTACGTTACGAAGCGAACAAGTCGTTCATGCACATTGATGTCATTCTCTGTTTTCCATTTCATTAATTCATTGTACGCAGCATTAAATGTCCAAGTTTGACGAAGATCGCTCTCGTCCAAGACGGCTTCATATGATTATTTTGATCAAGAGCGAAAAGAGTATCATTCTTCTCCCGAGATCTTGATCCCGATGATGTAATTTAATTTCCTGATAATCTTAACGCATAATTATCCACTTTCAGCCATTTGCTAATCAACTTTAACGTATGCATCTCTCAAGTGTTATCCATTTGATTGTATTAATATTATTGTAACTTTATGCAGTTTCATACGAAGTAATTTATTTGAGTGATTGAACCGCAAATCATACAAAATGAAATGCGAAAAACTCATAATATAATGATTAACGCCTTTCATATAATGTATTTATAGAACTCGCGGATAAAACAGCATGGACTCAACATGGCTATAGTAAGAATTTTCAAAAATTTTGGGACTTTCAAGACAATGCTGAACGAATCGATGAATCCAATATGACTATGGAAGAATTTGTTGAAAAATATGAAAAACCTTACAAACCTGTGATAATACGAGGTGTTCAAAATGGCTGGAGAGCCCAACAGAAATGGACTATAGAGGTTAGTCTTTGTATGATTTTAATATAATACAATTGGATAAATCGACATTTGTCATAGTTATGCTTACAAGCATACTTGCGACTTGCCAATTTGCTTTGTTCTTTGGACACAGTTAAGTTGTGATTGACTAATTAAAAAGATATTTGTTTTAAATATTAAAGAATTTAAATATATTTTAAATCTTATTAGTATACTTGATTGAAAGAAAGGCCATGCTAATCATCTTTATTTCCAATTTGTAGAAATAAGTTTTAACCATTACCGATAGTCTTATTTAATTTCAGAGATTAGCAAAGAAATATCGGAATCAAAAGTTTAAATGTGGAGAGGATAATGAAGGATATAGTGTAAAAATGAAGATGAAATACTACGTTCGATACATGTTTAATAATGAAGATGATTCTCCTTTATACATTTTCGATAGTTCATTTGGTGAGCATCCAAGACGAAAAAAATTGTTGGAAGATTATATAATTCCTAAATACTTTCGAGATGATCTTTTTCATCATGCTGGAGAACATCGAAGACCACCATATCGTTGGTTCGTTATGGGACCTGCGAGATCTGGTAAATAGATTATAATACATGATGTATAAAACAAGTATGAAATATATGATGTATTGTATGCCAAGTTTGTCTCACATGTCAGCAGTTAATAATGCATGAAGAGATATATTCGATTGAAAAAAATAAACATAACAGGTACAGGAATACACATAGATCCATTGGGTACTAGCGCATGGAATGCATTAATCTCTGGTCATAAACGTTGGTGCCTGTTTCCTACACATACTCCTCGTGAACTTTTGAAGGTAACCGCAACCGAAGGTGGTAAGCAAAGAGATGAAGCTATTACATGGTTTTCTATTGTCTATCCACGCACAAAATTACCTACTTGGCCCAAAGATTGTCGCCCAATAGAAATTCTACAGACTCCTGGTGAGACTGTTTTCATTCCTGGTGGATGGTGGCATATCGTTTTGAATCTTGATGAAACGATAGCTGTCACACAGAATTTCTGCTCGCGTACCAATTTTCCGGTAGTTTGGCATAAAACGGTAAGAATTCTTAATGTAAAATACTAATAATTATAATCATGAGACATCAATTTTATCAGTATGTGAAAAATTCAGGTATGTGTATGAACGAAAAGATATTCTGCAAATTAAATATTAAATTCATCGCAAATAGGTACGGGGAAGACCAAAATTATCACGAAAATGGTTAAAAGTACTCAACGATAAAGAACCCGAATTGGCAAGTTTAGCAGAAACTATAGATGTAAAAGAGGACACCGGTGTGGCCAGTGATTCCTCGAGCGGTTCTTCAAGTAGTTCTTCGAGTAGTACTAGTAGTAGTCAATCTGACAGTGAGGATGATAGCGGTCAAGAATCACTTACCGCACATAAAAAGAAAAAAAGGTATGTGTGCTGCTGTGTATGCACGCGCGCGCACACGCACACACTAAAATATTGCAATTACTGTTCACTCTGTTCTCTTCCTCTCCTTTCATAACACAATTAATTTATTTTTCATGACAATTATGAACATAGTTGAGGCATAATACTGTCTTGAAATTTTCAGAAGAAAATTGACTAATCAACCCTGACAATATCCAGTATTTGGAACCTACAGAGACCTCAGACTGTACAGTATTAACCAACAATTATTGTTTGTACTAAGAATAAATACTATAATTATTGTAATTACGATCATATCTTTATGTTTATAACAAAATAAATATCATATAACATAATTTTTCTTTCTATCAGATAATATTTTATCTAAGCTTTGCCCGTTTAGATGTAGATATGATAATGCACGTAATTCCTATTCCGATCAAATTCTGCATTGTGACTCATCTTGTTAATTAAACAATAAATGCATAATTGTTCCACAGTTGCTTTTTATAATTATCACGTCTCTCCTATTATTGATTAAGATTAAAAAATCGATAAAGTCAAAAAGTATAAAAACATTTGGGAGAATAATCTCAATGATAAACATTAAAAAATTAATGCAATAGCAATGTGTGAACGAAAGTAAGCTAATAAGCAATGGATGGATCAAGTGCATTATCATTTAAATTAAATTAAAATTATAATTGCAAATTAAATATAATGGGTAGTATACGATGTATGTGTTAGCTTTTGAGTGAGTTGCTCCTGTGGAAGGTCTTTGCGTCTCGTTTAAAGTAATTCCACAATTTCACAGTTCCATCACTTCGTATCGACATGATGACCATGCAAAGCACCAAAGTGGAGTAAACAACATAGAAGCAAATAATAATAAATTAAACATTCATACATCCTAATAGACTTAAAAGCTAAGTAGCTTTTTCAATTTTTTCATAAGATTGACTATCGAATCTCTTATCTTTTTGATCTATTGACTGACAAGAGAATTATATATGTATTTTGTATTGTCTATCACAAAGAATGCTTGCACTTGGACGTATGAATAATATCATGTGTTTAAATTGCATCTTCTCAAATATAACGTTCAATTTTTAAAATATTTGTGAATTTTGCGCTATCATTAAGTCACATTAATGATGAATTGCAGACATAATGCAAAGATAAGTATAGACATTTTAAATTTATGTAATCGTATATCTTTTGCTCGATTATATAAGCCAATAGTACTGTACGGTACGGTGCTGCATGAAATAGTCAATTGAATACAGTAACATTCAACGAATATTATAGATATAAAAAAACAACGCAGCCTCGCTACAGGCCACATTATACGTGTAGAATACAACGTGTTAAATGTTAAACTAAGCTGGGAATGCGCATTATTACAAAAATATAAAATAAATACAACACACACAGTGACGCACAAACAAAAAGCAAAACAAAATTTTAAAGAGAAACTGTGGAGATAGACATGGATAACGAGGAATCGGGTATACGCCACAGCTTCACTTCTCCAGAGCTGAAATCAATATCCGAAACGTTATTTTATATTTTTTCGGAATCATATCGCGGACTATTGAATCAAAATAAATATACCGATATATATAATATGCTAATCTAACTTTACAACGGTTATTGATGCGCACTGTCAGATATCGTTTTTCGACATGGAGATGGATATAAAAAGGCATTAAAAAATTTGAATTTTTTTACTTACTTGCTCGCTGTAAATATATGTTGCTGATTGGTAGCGATAGCATTGATAGCAGAAGCGTGTGCTCGTACTTCTCCAATAGGCATACACTCCCCTGAATGATCCTTAGGAACTGACCATACCTTCAATATACCACCGCGACATCCCGAAATCATTATGGAACCGTTATTTATCGTGCATAATCCCAAAATCCAATCTTTATGAGCATTGTTCAGGGATTGAACCAATTCCATTTTGCTTAGATCCCATCGTTTAATGCACATATCTCTAGAGCCTGAAGATTAATTAATACATAAAATGATGGGGGCATATTACAATCATATACTACGCGATAATTTGTACAGACAAGAACGATATAACGCACCAGAAAATAGCGTAGAACTGATTGTAGTTAAACATTGAACTCCGTCATAATGCGGTGGCGCTAAATTGACAGATGGTCCAGAAGATATAGTAGGCTCGGCAAGGGATATTAGATGATCCTTGCTACCTGCTATTACTCTACCGTCCTCAGCAACGGCCAGGCACATAATAGCTGCTGTGTGTGGTGTACTTAATCTAGCAGTGTACGTCAACTTACGAAGATCCCATATTCTAACCTTATCGCTGGCTGCTGTATACAATTCCTGTTCGTCCAAACTGAGTGCTAAATCATTGATTGTTGTTTCGCCCATGGGAACTTGAAGCATCCTAGATGGAGTCGATAATGGAATAGGGCCGATCTGAACATGTCCCGAAGAGGACAACGTTTTTATGCAGCTATTGCCAGTTCTCAAATCCCAAACTTTAACATATGCTGCGGATACACTAAATAAAAGCTGATGAATAGTGGAATACTTTACAGCAACAACATTATTAGGATGTCCACTTAGAGTCAATCTTTCAATTCCTGTTTCTAAATCCCATACTTTCACAGTGCGATCTGAAAATCCATAAAGTAGCTTGTTCGTTGTGTGTAATCCTTAAATTCTCTCTCGATATCATCGATTTGTGCATTCACATACCTTTGGAACCGCTGAAAAGTAAATCCGACGTCACACATACAGTAAGAACAGCTTTGCTATGCCCTTCCGCAACGTGAGAACATTGCAAAATAGCCCGTGGTTGCGTCTGGCAGAAGAATTATATCTAACACCTGGCTCCGGAAGAGAGAGAGAGGGAGAGAGAGAGACAAAAAGATTGTTTCAAGTGTGTTTGCGCTTACCTTGCCCTGATATTGCGAGATGATTCCTTTCATCGGTTGTGGTTCAGATGCGATTAGCTGTCTATTCGCGGTTAGTCTCGAAAACACATTTTCTTCGCGGCTATTGAATCGCCTGTATGTGGTGGGCGATCCAGGAGGTGAAGATATATCCGTATGCGCTACCTGCTCCCTAATAGATGTATTATGTTAGCATGTTAATTAGTCGGCATTCGTATGATTAATGAGCATGCTGATTTCAAAATTACACATATATATATATTAAACATGCGTGCGCGGAAATGATAATGAAACATTATATTGCATTAATCCAGTTTAAAGTTGTATATAGGAGTAGTGCATGATTAAGCACAATTATTAATTTTAGCCATTATCAAATGCAAATTTCGTACTTAGAAATATGTATAAGGAACAGTCGAGAGGAGGTCTTTTGACAGCTATCATAGTTTCGCGTTTCATTTAATATCTTTTTTTAATATCCTTATTTATTCTTTATCCTATTATTACAAAAAGTATAATTCTTATGTCTACGTTACATATCTGAAGATACATATTTTGTATAAATGTCTTTTCTTATTGCGACTATTAATAATATGTTAATGTAAATTATGATTTAAATAGATAAAAGAGATATGTCGCGTCAAATTCATCACTATATGTGATACATTTACACACACACACACACACACACACACACACACACACGCGCGCGCGCGCGCGCGCGCGCGCGCGCGCGTGTGTATATATATGCAAAATCGATGTGTCTTACTTACTTGTAAATGTAGATCTAGGTATTTATTAGAGATATCGTTTGCAAGCAAGATGTGACTTATTAAAACGCATATTACACGACACATGTGTACAATATATCCATTTTCACATAGTTTATTTTACAATATGCAATTGTTTGAAATGTTTATCGAATATTTTTTATCTGCTTTAAGTTTAGATACAGATTTTATCGAGAGTAGTACAACAAATATAATAAAATAAAATATAATTATCATTACCATGTATGCATATTATATGCATACGTCATAACAATTTGTGTATTGAAAATTTGTTTTTTCCGCGCAAAATTCGTAACATTTAATATTGATGTAAACTTGATATTTACGTTTGCTTTAGTTTAGTATTGTGCGTGCGAATGCGCGCACGCGTATTAATAATTTATTAATTGATTATATTCTTAGGCATGAAATACTTGCACTTGATTCCTATCTCAACCAAAAAATGAACAAAATGAAGTTTATCTCGAAAAAAATAAAAATATTCAACAGTGCATGGAGTAGGGCAACAAGAAAAATGTAAATAAGAAATACAAGAACAAGAACGTGCTGTACAATAATCACTCACATAGAGCCTCCACCTGGAATTGGCCGTCGCAGAGCTCTAGGCGAAGTGCTGTCGCGACGACTCAAAGTTGGCGATCCTCCAGTTATAGTACCACCATGTTGATTTCTCGTTACTAATCCTCTGATACAGAATATACAGAAATAAAAACGTACAAACACGTCACAAAACTATACATTCATATACATGGAACTCATGGATTACTAGTCACTAGATGGTAAATTTGTTTGTATTTTGGAAGGGAAAAAATTAATGGAAACTAATTTGAGCCTAAAGTTTAGAGTATACTTACTTTAGACTACCTGGTGCACTGGGGACTCTAGTAAGAGGATGATTATGATTTTGAGTCTGCTGATCGTCTGCTTTCACATTTTCCGGACTTGCATATATACCATAGAGAAGTTCTTGTGGTTGCGTTGTTCTTTTTCTGACTTTGCTATTGCGCTGTCTTTCTTCCCCGATAATTTGGCCATAACTTTCACTGTTGTACAACATGAATAAAAATGAAATACATATAGTCTCTCAATGCAGAAAATAATAATATAGTCTATATATAGAAAGGAAAAATTCAAAGTCTTGAAAAAGTGCGAAACACATCTTAAAAGAATATCGCTGCTTAACTTACTTGTCTGGGGAGGAACTCCTTGAACTGACTGGACTGTAAGCTAATATATTATTCTGACTGTTTGTGAGAGATAAAAGATCTCGATCGCGTAAAACATGTTCCAATAATTGATGTTGTACGTCGCTTTCTTGCGCAACTTGATTAAGTCGTGATTCCATATCCCGTACTTCGAGTTGCTTTTGTGCGGCTATGCAACTTTGCTCTACGGTAAACGCCAGCATTCGTTGAAGTAAGTATTGCGCTTCGTCTACTGTTCGAATTGTAGAGATGAGCGTTTCGACACCAGGTTCACCTTCCACTTCACCGTCGCCCATCTCAACCATATCTCGCTGACATTCCGCAATACTATCCTGGAAAATTTTGCAGATTCTAGTAGAGAAAAGAAACAGGAATGCTCGCACCATAAATCGCATTAAATTGTCAGCATTACCTGTAAGTAACTAATTTTACTTTCTACATTATCAATTTCTTCATCAATATCGGTGATGTCGCCTCTCGCACTTGTAATTTGACTTCTATGTTTCTGAAGTTTCTCCAAATCTCTTCCTAATTCTTCCCTTTCTTGAAGTAATCTTTCCATTTCTCTCTCCGTTTCCGCGGCAGCTTGTTTCGCTAATGCTTGCTTAGCGATCATTCTTTCGAACGTCTGCCATCTTTGCTTCAGCGCTTTATGATTAAGTTGTTTAATTGGAGCACGACCGGCAGCCTTTTGACTCAATCCCTTATCTTTCCTTCGTAGTGCCGTTACTTCTTCCTGTTTACGTCTAAGAACAACTTCCTTCATTCTCTTGTCAGCTTCTAGCGTCCTGATGACGTTCGCGTGCCTCCGACTTTCCTTACGTAACTGTGCTATTTCTCTATTGCGTCTCAGTTCGTTTTCTTTATGTCGTTGTGCCTCTTCCCGCATTTTGTTTAAAAGTTTCACTTTAGCTCTCTTCATTTCTGAAAGTTCGTTTCTCAATCCTCTCAATCTATTTTCATTTTGAGATTGATTCTTCAATAGCCTCGCGTGTTCTTTTTTAGCAGATTGTAAAAGTCGCATCTCTTTCTGCATATTAGCGAGCTTCTTTTCGTACTCATCGCGTAATTTTTTAACTTTTTCAGTAGGCGGTGTAGGTTGTTGTTGCAAAGATATTAACACTTTATCTCTTTCTTCCTGAGTATCTCTGATACGGGCTTGCAATTGAGACAATTTATCCTCGTAATGCTGCTTCATAGTCTGCAGACGTCTCTGAGAAAGCTCGAGTTCTTGTATCAAACGCTGTTTAACATCAATATCGGATGTTAGCGCTTCTAATTCACGGCCCATAGCTGCCTCTTCTTCGTCTTCTTCTGTAAAATAGATACACATATAATATAATGGAATTGTGATATTACATCGCTGGCATCATTTTCGGCCGTTATATAACTATAATTAAGAAAAAGACTATTTACTATTTCATGTAAATATACATATGTAGACACAAACAATACGTGTGTGTGTGTGTGTGTGTGTGTGTGTGTGTGTGTATTAGGCGCGTACCTTTACGATCGGAATCATCGTCGGAATCATCTTCGCTTACAGAATCCTGAGCATTCTCTGTATCATCTATCTCTCCTTCATCCATCGATTTGATAGTATTTCCACTATGACTATACTGCTCTTTTAAGACTTTTAACGTTTCCATTTCTTTTTCGACATCTCTTTTAGCATCGATCAACACAGATATAGAATCGGAATGATACGAACTATCTCCATATGGATTTGCTGCATTAACCTAATAATAAATCAATTTCATCAATATAGATCAGTCAACATGTAAGGCGTTAGTTGGACATACCAGCATTTGTCTTTTCTTCAATTGCTGGTACATAGCTTCCGCTTCCAATAGACGAGCTCTTAACTCTTCTATCTCTTGAACATAGCCTTGTACCAAGCTAGTGACTTGATCATCGCCTTGACTTTTGCTAGATACCGCTACCCACTGCCCCGCAGCTTTTTCTGCCAACAGGAGAGCATTTTTGGCGGTTAATGCCTCGACTGTTTCTGAAAGAGCTTTCACTCTGGTACGAAGACTTTGTAATTCGCTACTCAACATTTGATTTTCGTGCCAGGTGTCGTTAACTCCATCTTCACCGACGATTCTCTTGCCTAAGGATAAACGAGAAAAAAAGATATATCGATATGCATATTAAATTATTAAATATTACGATAAACAGATACACACCTTGCCTGTATTCCATCAATTCTAATTGAAGTTGCTGAATTTCTCGTCGTAGCGACGCGATTGTTCTCGAGCTCTTGTCCTGGTTAATGGTAACCTTATTCTTTATGTTTCTCGCTCTATTTGCATATTTTAACGTACTTAAAGTTTCCATAAAATCTCTGTCGCTTGGCGATACGCACGCTATCATAACAGTTTGGCTATTTCCTATGACATACAAACATCCTTGTAAAAATGTGGTAAAATTATATTCTTGCCTAACGGTCCTTGTCTTGGCATTACATTTAACACCGATTGATTGATCAAGTAGCTATTGAATAGCTAACCAAGGGAGTATTACCTCCGAGAGAGTCTTGAAGTAGTCTGGTTAATTTCGAGTCCCTATAAGGTATGTGCAAAGCTTTCTTTGTTTTATCGCCAAGAGCGGAAATGACATTGCCCAATGCTAACTGGAAAAAAAGATATAGCAAAGATAAGCATCGATGATTTCTTTCTCTATTCTTTTTCTAGATATTGAATTTACTCTTACCAATCCACAATTGATAGAAATGCCTTCTTTCGCTCTATCACCAGTGGCACCCGTTCTCTTTAACCTCTCGGAACCGGCCAAATCGACAAAATGAAACTTCGCAGTTAATGTTTCAAATTCGTTCGCTAGCTCGACGCCGCTTGTATCAACGTCCGCATCAGGATCCTCGACTTTGATGCATCTTTGTTGTTTAATATACAAGGTAAATATCGCGTGTGACCTAGAGGATTGCATATTCATTTGCGTGGATCCCGTCGTGCGCGATAACGCACCCAATCGAAGATATTCCAACGCTTGTTCGGGACTGGTTACGACACGCGGTTCTACGCCAGTTAAATGTATGTTACCCATTGTATCTTCATGAATACGTGCACCACCCCTCGGTCCTCCTGATTCTAATAAATCTTTCAAGTCTTCGTTATACAATTCCAAGAACTGCGCTGTAATCTAGTAACAAAAGATGCCATGTCATTGCAGGAGAGAAATAAAAGGCAGGGCACAAGCCTGACAGAATCGCACGAATCGATCGGGTACCTTAAACTCCGGGGGCATTTGCACGCGTTCCCTCGCACGTTCCTGTTTATTTGCTATTCCATTGAAAAGATGTCTAATGGCTCTGGGAATGATTCCAACGATAATTTCATCGACCTCAACGTCAAAACCAGTGCCCATGGTGTAAGTTTTACCCGAGCCGGTTTGTCCATAGGCGAGGACCGTTGCGTTGTAGCCATCCAATGCACCCTCCACAAGACGACTCACACATGTTTCGTAAATTGTGCTTTGACTCGCTTGAGTATCAAAAACATAATCGTAGGTAAAGGCCTTGTCGGGACCAAGGAAAACCTGTGGTTCCCCTTGAGGTACTTGAGTACAAATCCTGCACATATCAATTACTTCACGGGCTACTTGAGGCCTTATTCTGCAACAGACAACCAATTCAATTCTTTAGCATGTATACTAGTACTCGCTAAATTCTTCATTGTCGTACAGTATTTAATCTCCTTTCTCGCTATTAGCATCGCCTTTAGAAATTGCTAAGAACATACGATTAAAATGTGATAAATGACCAAGGTCGCGCGCGGAGTTGGAAACCCCACGCGCCAACTTGTGGAAGTTGAAGGTGCACGCTGCGTGTTTCTCAGAGGCAAACGGTAAGTAATCAAGCCTACGCGCTTGCATCGTAAAAGGAGATACTCGAAGATCAGTATTCGCGCGCGTGATCAGATATTGCGTGAAATCGCTCGAATCAAGTTTCTCTTCCATCGCGTGCGTGATGCGTCATGTAACGCACGCGACAAAACTTGTCAAATATCTCGTTATTCCGCGTATCATCTTCTTCATAATTACATAATAGAAAAAAAGAATTAAATTCGACATTAGGATATCACTACGTCATTATAATGATCGCAAGACAGAAATATGCTTTTAAAACAACGTAACAAAAATATTATATTCCTTCAGGAATATTTCTCTGTTTCTTGCATCAAGAGCCGAAGGCACCATGTGAGAAATTCACGAGAAATAGTGAAAAACGAATGCGTGACATACATACGCGCGCGCGCGCGCGTGTGTGTGTGTGTGTGTGTGTGTGTATAAAGATGAATGCTCATATTTGTGCTTATGCTTTTGAAAGCGCCAAATTATTTTGTAATCTAAAGAAACGCGCGCAGGTTTAAACACGCCGCGCGTTAGAATCATCTCCTCTCAACAATCTCTTCCTGTGGGGCGTTTTTTTAAATGCCGCTTTTTAAATATATTGCCGGCTACCTTTCGAGACACAGCGGAGATCCAACGGGAGAAGTGGAAAGAAGGCATGAATTTGCCTTCAAAAAATATATTATTTACTTACCGTACGGCAACACGTACGCTCGAATCGTCCGCCATCTCGCTATGTGCGATTATTAGGCGATTATGCGAAGATCAACGAGATGACTTTGATGTGTTAGGCTAAAATTAGGCCAAAACTAGTCGTAGGCGAATGTTGCAGGTAGTTACGATCTTCCGCTATGCGACAATGTCCATGCAACGTTGTCCTCGCGCACGCGTCAGGCACAATAATCGCAAGAACTTGACATCTCTTGTGAACGATGTACGAGCTGCGATCCGCGCATTTCTCGTGATATTCGTAACGATACGACCAAGAGCGCTTCAATCACCAAATAATCGCGACAATCGTAACAATAGTGTAGAAACTCGAGCTGCCTTTCGATCATTTCTCATTATTATCATTGTTTCTTATGTAAAGCACTTGTGCATACGTATAAGCAATAATACTCATTGACAAAGGCCATGTCGCTATCGCATTCTGCGTGAAGTAATCTGAAGTTGAAACAATCGAAATTGAATATACAATACGACTAGTTATAGGCACGAATATATATAGGCCTGGGGGTCGATCATGTAACTTTTCCCCTAGGGCGGAAACGTGAAAAGTGAAAAGTTTCACGTGAATTTATGATCACGTACGATTTCGCGGGATTATGTAATTCTTCTCAAATGTGAAAATGTGAAATTTTTCACGTGAACTTTTTCGCCATGTACAATGAAGAATATAAATGAGGTCCTTTTTCGGTGTAGCTAGGAGTAGAGACACTACAATCAGAGACTGGCCACGACTCTGATCCGCCATGTTTTGGCTAAATCCTACGAGAGAGAAAGAAATATACACTATCTCATTCTAACCAATAACAGTTTTGGTAGCGATATTTTTTATTTTGCATGTGCATTGATTTAATATATTGTACATGTGTATTAAACACATGGAAAGCGTGGTAATATATTATTACATAATTGAGATACTAAAATTGCAAAATATAGTCATAAATTAATTAATTGTAATAAATTAATACAAAAAATGAGTGGATGTTCAGCACCATTTTGTAATAATTCTTCGAAGAAAAGTCATGTCATGAAAGTTTTCCCGAGAAATCCGAAACATCAAGCTTTATGGTTGCAAAATATTGGTCATAAAAATTGGATGCCAACAAATGATTTCTTTTTTGTGAGATTTGTAAAGTTTATTGTTGACGCTTTTCTGCGATGGGTTCTCTCGCTGCGCTAATTTTGTGAATAGCTGTCATTGTATTAATTTCACAGAGGATCGTTTTGACAATTGTGTATCAAAAAGTTAAAAATATATAGTGTAACAGTAGTATAATAGTATTGTATTAATTTTGCTCTTGTGTTGAAAAAGATAAATAGCGAAAAAAAAGATAAATAAAAAAGGTAAATAAATAAATAGTAATAAATTTAATAGTAATAAATTTAAAATCGTTAAAATTAAAGGAAATATATTAATAAAGTAGTATAATTATGTAAAATAAAGTTTTATAAATATATACATTTTATTAACTTTAAAATGCTTATGTTTTTAAATTATAATATTACAATTTAAGATTAATGTAGTTAATGTATTTGAAAATAAATGGGAATAGCCAAAAGATGGCAGACCAATCAAAAGTTGCTTTTTCGTAATCAATCTCTTATTAGTCTCTAAGTGTCGGTCCATAAGTGTTGGTCCACAATAAGTATTTAATCTTTAAGCCGTAAGAAATTGACTAATCATAGTCGAGTATTCTTTTCATATAATTATAATTGGTCAATTTCTTACTTTTTAAAACTTAAATCACCTATTGTGGACCGACACTAATAGGTGAGTTAAGCTTTAAGACGTAAGAAATTGACCAATTATAATCTAATATGAAAAGAATAATCGACTATGATTGGTCAATTTCTTACGTCTTAAAGCTTAAATCACCTTGTGGATCGACACTTATAGTGGGTGCGTTTCTTTATTCACTTCGAGTACTGTCAGTACGAATAGCGTTCCGATATAGAGAGTAGTGCACTCCGAAAGTATTGCCTTGAATTCTATGTCATTGATTTTGACGTATTTCCTATTTGCGGCTACTGCAACCAGCGAGGTAAAGTAGTTAGAGCACAAAGATGGCTGCTTCCATGGAGACTGAAATAACCTTGATTGATACTGAAGAAAATAAAGCATATAATATGAAATAATATAATATAATGAAATTATTATATTATAAATATTATGAAATTATTTATTATTATTAATTATTTTTTATTATTGTTATTATTGATATTAATATTAATT